GGAAATACAGTAGTGGACGAGTGGAACAAGTTACCAAACATCATCATTAACTCGAATACGCTGGATAGCTTCATATATTGGTTAAAGAGATATATGAGTTACAGGAGTTGTGTATAAACGAGGCTACCTAATATGGGCCAATACGCCACTGCAGTTTCCACCATTCTTATGTTCTTAGGGTCTCACCTATCCTTAGCTTCAGTAATCTTATTTCGGAAAAAAATCGTTAGAGTATGATAGTAAATGTCGTCTTAAGTGAAGCTGCTTTTTTTTCTTACTGTATTAGAATTATTATAACAAAAAACAAAGGGCTTCTCTATCTGGTAAAAAATATTGCACTTTAATGCTTAATCGGACGATCATTCCTAATCATAGTGCCAAATGTATCTACATATTTAATTGTGTGTGTGGATGACCAAAATAACTTAAACATGACAGGAATAAAGAAAGCAATTTATAAGAAATTAAAAAGGGGGGGGGGAGGAGCATCTCAGAAATAGGTATAATGAACTGTCTAGGAATGTTAAGAAAAATGTAAGGAAGACAAAGAGGGACTTCGAAATCAGGATAGCAAGAGAATCCAAGGCGAATCCCAAGGGATTTTTCCAGGTAAATAGGACAAAGGTCAAGGACAAAGTGGAACCTTTAAAGTCAGAGAGAGGGGAAGTGATCGATATCAGTAAGAAAATAAGCAAAGCATTAAACAGCTACTTTTTATCAGTTTTCACAGAAGAAATTCACGAGGAAATGACAGCGGTGGAACTGATATTTAGGAGAAATGAAGTGAAAATAAAGAATAACACTATCAGAGAAGAGGATGTTCTTAAGAAGATAAATAAATTATAAATTAAAGAAGACAAAATCCCCAGGGCCGGATGAAATTTTTCCTCGAGTTTTGAAAGAGTGTAAGGAACAGATTAGCTGACCCCTCACAAATTTATTTACAAAATCATTTGACACGGGAGTTGTGCCAGACTTGTGGAAACAGGCAAATGTAGTTCCTATATTCAAAATGAGAGAAAGAGCATCAGCGTCAAATTACCGGCGGATTAGTTTGACGTCAGTAGTGGGAAAATTTCTTGAATCAATTATAGCAAATAGCATCCGATCGCATTTAGAGAAAAACAAATTAATCTCCGACTCACAACATGGGTTTACAAATGGAAAATCTTATCTGACAAAACTGCTGACGTTTTTTAGGAAAGTCTTCGAGGTAGCAGATAACGAAGAAAATTACGATGTTATTTACTTAGACTTTAGCAAATCGTTTGACAGAGTTCCGCATTAGAGGCTTCTGAGAAAAGTTAAGGCTCATAGTATCGAGGGGAAGTTTTAAATTGGATAAAATCCTGCCTCACCGATAGAACACAGAGGGTCAGCGTAGATGGTGCTAAATATGAGTGGGGCTGTGTAACCAGTGAGGTTCCCCAGGGGTCATTATTGGGCCCACTCTTGTTCATAATCTACATAAACGATCTAGATACTTGGATAAGCAGTGATATAAGCAAGTTTGAGGATGACACCAAAATAGGGCAGCAGATTAATTCAGTGCAGAATGCAATTGCACTACAGAAAGATTTAAATAAACTGCAGGAGTGGTCAGAAAATGGCGAATGAAATTCAACACCAGCAAGTGCAGCGTACTTAATATTGGAAGAACAAATACTGTCAATGTATACAGCCTTAACAACATCAACCTAGAGAAGTCAACTTGTGAAAGAGACCTAGGAGTATTTGTAAGCCCGGACCTACGGCCTAGAAACCAGTGCGTTAATGTTCGAAATATGGCAAGCAGAGTATTAGGTTTTATATCTAGAAGTGTAAGTAATAAGAGTGCAGAGGTCTTATTGCAACTATATCTTGCGCTAGTCTGGCCGCACCTCGATTATGCTGTTCAGTTCTGGTGCCCTTATTGTAGAATGGATATCAATTCACTAGAGTCGGTGCAGCGAAGAATGATGTAAATGATTCCGGGACTTAGAAACCTTCCATATCAAGAAAGATTAAAGAAACTAAACTTGCATTCCCTAGAAAGACGAAGAATGCGGGGAGATATGATAGAAGTATTTAAGTGGGTGAAAAGAATCAATACAGGAGATATAGATAAAGTTCTTATAATATCCGAGCAGGATAGGACTCGAAGCAACGGATTTAAGTTGGATAAGTTTAGGTTTAGGAGGGAGAAAGGAAGGAACTGGTTCACAAATAGGGTGGTAGACGAGTGGAACAAGCTTAGCAACTTTGTAGTAAGTGCTGGAACGCTGGAAAGTTTTAAAAGGGGGCTAGATAGATTCATGGATGATAGAGAGTGGTAGTAACTCTAGACAGAAGCTGCCATGCACAGGCCAACCGGCCTATTGCAGACTCCTTATTGTCTTATGTTCTTATGTGTGTGTAGATAGCAACATAAGTAAATTTGCTGATGACACTAAAATAGGGCGTGTAATGAAATCTGACGTGGACTCCGCAAAACTACAGGAAGAACTAAACAAATTTTTCGAATGGTCTGAACAATGGCAGATGAAATTTAATGTGGACTAATGAAAAAAATGTCAAGGAATTGTCAACAGAGAAAACAGATATCAGATGAACTACGTTGTTATAGAAAAATCCGACTGTGAGAATGATTTAAGAATAATGATAAGTAGGATTCGTGAACCAAGTCAACAATGTGTATTTGCTCGAAATAAGGCTAACAAAGTACTTGGGTTTGTACAAAGGAATGTTAATTACAAGATTAGCGAAGTTATCTTAAAATTATGGGTCCATGACAAAAACCCAACCGGACAAAATCCCCTAGGGCAAAAAACCCTGGACAAAAACCCCACTGGACATAAACCCCACCCATCCGGACAAAAACTCCACCCCTACCGGACAAAACCCACAACGGACAAAATCACCTCATAGTGAAAAATAAAACAAAATCTATTTAAAGTTTATAATAGCAAACATTACGAAGTGTAATTTATAAGATGAAGAATAAATTAAAACTATATAAGTATTAACATTTATTTCATATTAAAAAAATAAGACAAAATATAATTGGAGTTTTTATTAATTTCTTACAGATCCACTTTGACAATATCTCTTACTAAGACGATGTATGGACCACATGAAGTGTAAGTTATACTGGACTGTAGTCATATCATAAGCGTATATTATGCCCAATGTCTCTGAGCATTTCCCTCAATGTCCTGCGGCCACCTCTAAAATCAACACAGAGATTTCTAAGTCGTTTTTGAAGGTCTGTTTCCCGTCTTACACGTTTTTGAACTGGTTGATCTCTCTCGCCAAGTGTAAGATGAATGGACACAATGGTTGAGTCTTTCTTGATGTATTCAATATCAGTCCAAATTGTCGGAATGTAGCTAGGTTTACATTCCATTTCTCTGGTGGGAATAATGAAGGAATCTTCCGCACTCGCATTGTCACAGGACTCTTGAAGGGATGATGTCTACGGATAGTTCTCTTAATGGAATCCATCTGACCAAGTGCAACTCGCCTCTCTTGAGTCATCTTTGCCATACTGTCAACTGTCAAGTCGGATCTCTCCAGTATTTCCCCTGTTGGTAACTGCATGTTCTTTTAGAGTCTGTCGGACTTTTGTTGCATCCACTGCAAATGTATCTGGTGTGTGGTTGTGGTCTGTGGTGGAAATGGTTTTTTGGACATCCAAATCTGTTGTAAGTTTGCCGTTGCAGGAGAGAACTGCTCTCCTGGAACATTCCCAGCGTTTTGTTGAAGAAGACGTAGACTTGTTTGTGTATATATAGCCATGATAACATAGTTTTTCTCCACCTTTATTGCTGAGTATAATTTTCATTATAAAGTAAGGGTATTTAGAGATATTTTTCCTAGTTATATTAACTGCACAATTTCACTAATAATGATAACAGAGTAAGTCACAAAGTAATTCACAATACACTGGTGATTAAAATATTACACTTGCAAGAAAAATAGAAACGAGTTATCTAGCTTCCGACTGTATTCAAACACTGCTTAAGGAAAACTGAATTAGTGCATTGCACAAGTGAACAAGGTTTTTATACAGTTCGCCTCATGGTACCACACGTCATTAAACAGACCTGAGAGACCAGAGATTGTGAGGTCACGGGTCCCCTGAGGTCACAAAAAGTGATGACAGTAATGCTATTTGTAAGAAAAATAAAAAATAAAAACTTGAAATAAGTTTGTTTTATTTTCTACCACGAAGTAAATATTGAGGCTTAAATAGAGCTTTAATTTATTTTTTTTAACACATAACCTACACTTCATAATGTTCCATACATGCATTGTCGTAGTAAGAGATACTATCAAAGTGGATTTGTAAGAAAATTATTGAAAACTTAAAATATATATACATATATATATATATATATATATATATATATATATATATATATATATATATATATATATATATATATATATATATATATATATATATATATATATATATATATATATATATATAGATATGTATATATATATTAGTATGAGGCGATTTTTTCCGTTGTTGGTTTTGTCCGGTAGGGGTGGGGTTTTTGTCCGTATCCCTAAAATTATATCTTGTGCTTGTGAGACCTCACTTGAATTACACAGTTCAGCCTTGGTCATCGTGCTACAGTACTACATAATGGATATAGAATCCCTGGAAGGAATTCAAAGGAGAATGACAAGACTAATCCCGGGCATTAGGAACCTTGAGTATAGAGACAGGTTAAAGCATCTTAATTTGCACTCCCTCGAGAGACGTAGAGCGAGGGGCGATATGATAGAGGTGTATAAATGGAAGTCAGGGCTAAACAAAGGGGTCATTACCAAGGTACTCAAACTATCCAACCAAGAGCGAACTCGTAGCAATAGGTATAAATTAGACAAATTTAGATTTAGGCGCGAAATAGGTAAACATTGGTTTGTACTGATCAATGATTCGTGAGTTCTTGCACCTGCGCAAGTTAAATAGTTATCTACTGTGCCTTCTCGACACGGGCACTAAGTTGAGCCACACCCCAACTCAACGTCGCAGCGTAAACTAGTCTCGCCTCTCTCGTAGCCTGCAGTTCAGTACTGACTCTCCCGCCCTAACATAGTGAGTATTGCATGACTTTGTTTTACTCTTGGGAGATTATTGTTTTCGTGAAAGAAGAGAGTTTATTCAATCCTCGATTTTAGTTTGGTCATATTTAGAAATATATATATGTTCTATATATTGTAAAATAGATGTTTGTGTGTGTGTGTACAGTATGTGATGCACAAAGTGGCAAAAGGTAATGCAACACCAAATATTATCATACACCTTAAGAGATAAAAAATGTGAGCAATTACTGTGTGCGTTACCTTACAATTTATCGAATATCCTCATTATGTACAAGTACATAGCTCTGTGTTCGGTTTACGTATCTAAAAAGAAAATTATTTTAAATTACAGTACCTTGTGAACGAGGTACGGCCCTGTCTCATACCTGGAGTCTGAACACAACATCTGATGACACTCTCTAATACTTTAACGCATTTCAAAATCAGATTTAAATAACTTGAGATGCTTGTTGATAGTAGAGTCTTTATGCCAGCAACATATGGTGTTCTTAGGGTAAGGCGGTCACCCATCCAAGTACTAACCAGACCCATCGTTAAACTTCTTTTCCAACCTTTCCCCCCACGGCTATATGTCGTGACTTCTCTATACCTCATATATATATATATATATATATATATATATATATATATATATATATATATATATATATATATATATATATATATATATATATATATATATATATATATATATGTGTGTGTGTGTGTGTGTGTGTTGCCCTGATGATTCATGTGTAATAAGAGGAATTGCATCTAGTGGTTCCAAGCCAGTGTTTTGGGACCGGGCAAAGTCTTTCATGCTCCAATCTTAAAATGTTATTGTTATGTGTGGCAACAATGTAATGAATTCATTTGCTATGCAAGCTCATGCCCTGTCAAAGTTCGTAATAAGTTCTTTCCTGTGCCTGTGTGCTATGAGTCTCGAAGTGTTGTGGTGGTGGAATGTGAATCTCACCAATGTAGTGCTTCGTTACCACATTGCTGTACTAGTCTGCGTCCGATCACCCAGCCTTACCTCAACCCTGGCCTCGGCGAACACCCAGCCAAAGGGTGTCGAAACTTTGGATTGTGACTGTAAAATGCAGACATCCAGCTCTTCAGCTTAGCTCAAACTAGCCGCGCGAGTTGGTTCCTTTCGCCAGTGTGTGGATCGTACAGTTGACTTATTGCCTTGGATGAAATGCTATCGTGGATTTATTGCACGGAAAATTTTAGTGTGACTGTAGCTTAATCGTTCCTTGCCGTCAAGCAAAAAAGCAGTAGAGCGGGTGGATCCACTTGATGAATGCCCTCCGTTTCTCTGACGCCATTTCGTGTTGGGTCTTTGCCGAATCCCGGTGCCACGAAGGGCAGAAAAGAGCGTAAAAGACGATGGACAGCGTTGATCGCCTTGTCCCTCTTGGTCTGGTAGAATAAGTTTTTTTTTTAAGTCTAATTCAATCACCCTCGGTCTTCAGTGGCGTTGTTGATGAAGGCCCTCGCTATGAACTGTTGCTTCGCAGCCTTGAGGGATTCCGAACCTTAATTGGCTTGGTGTTTGAGTCGGCTCCTTGGTGAACACTTCCCACAGTTACTCAGGCGACAAGGTGGAGAAATATTTTACTGGCTGCGAAAGGCCAGATTCTGCTTTTTTTTTTTTTTGCCTTTAGTGCAAACAAAGCTGCTTCGAAAAAGACGAGCTTGAGAAATTTGAGTGAAAGGGTTTTAGAGGGCCAAATATGTTTGTATATTTGCTTTGTTAACTTTGAAAAGGTTTTGATCGGGTGAAAAGCAATAAAATTAAGGATGTCTTACAAAAAATAGGCTTCAATGAAGGAGATATTAGAATAAAAAATACTGGAAACAGGAGGATGCAGTGTTAGTAAATAATGAATTTACAATTTGGCTCAAATATGGACAGGGATTGAGACAAAGCTGTGTTCTCTCTACAACATTGTATAACATATATTCAGGACTCTAAATGAGAGAAGGTCTGAGTGACAATGAAGATATGAAAGTAAAATAATATCAAATACACGCTGTGCAGATGATACTGCTCTACCACGGATAGTGAAGAGGGTTTGCAAAAACTGGTTAACAGATTAGTGGAAAAGGGTAAAGAATGTTGGTTAAGAGTTAATACTGTAAAGACGAAAGTAATATTTGTGTATCTAGGAAGTAACATTAGAGATGCGCAAAAGAAATCAGAAGCATAACTCAAGGAAAAACAGCCTTTAAAAAGATCTAATATAAAGTGGATTCTAACTTCAACTTGAGAAAAAATTCCAGAAATGCTATTCATGGTCACTACTGTTGTTTGGGTCAGAATCGTGGACACTTTCAGCAGCCACCAGAAAGAGGTCGGGACTTTTCAAATGGGTTATAGCGAATGTTAAAACTAAGTAACACTGACAGGAAAACAAACGAATAGGTAAAAAAATTTCAAGAGAAATACTTGACATTCGTAGAATAAAGAAAATGGATACTTTGGTAGAGCTCAATCTCTCAGAATTGCTCTCGTTACTGAAGTGCAGTTATAACATTATAACATCAACAACAATATTTTGGTTATTTAAATAGGGATGGAGGTATATTGGCAGACATATTATTGGGCAAAATTGGGGGTAGGAGGGCCAAGGGACGGCAGAGACTTGTATGGATGAATTATATTAAAAATTGGGTCATTAGAGAGGTACAAGATCTAGGAGGGTTAATAACAAAAACGAAAACATTTAGAGTGGAAGACTGTGGTCGCCAACCCTCATATATGCAGATATGAGGATGGCATTTTTGATTGGTTGATTGATGATAGCAAACGATGGCTGAAATGAAACCGGGTCAATTTTACCATATGCGAATTAATTTTCATTAAGTTTTAGTAATAAAAATAAATAGTTACTGTAGTGATGCGAGTAAAATTTCGTTCAGTCGTGTTATTATTTTGGTTGTATGTGGAGTTTATTTAAATTAAAATGTCATGTGGTAAAATTTTGGCTGCAATTTAATTTTTATTAAAATTTCAAGTGAGGCAGATAAGTAAAATCAAACATATAGATAAAGACATGAACGTAGTATCGGACAAGGAGGTGAACCTAACTCAACCTGGCGTAGTGCGACCTAACCAACTCTCTCGTAACCTAACGGCCCTAACCTATTCTGAATTAATGACGGTCAGTTTCCGGCGACCATGGTAGTCAACAGCAATTTATTTCACTTATTCTTTCAGAGGTTTGATACAGAAATTGTGTATAGTAATTTCTGATTTTGAGAACATGCCATATACTGTATATATTTAGATGGCCAGAACTAATGTGTATTTAGCCTTAAAATAATAACTAATATAGTTTGTTAATAAAAAATCGTTTATGAAATTGAAATCGTTCACTGCTGTCATATGTATTTCTTTTGCTCATAGGGGGGAGAGAGAGGGAGAGAGAGAGATTCTCTTTATATCCTGAATTATGAGAAATCTTCAGTGATGACATTGAATTTATGAACAATAATGATTATAGTTTTTGGTGTTGTAATTATAATCGTTATCATCAATTTAAGTGTTATTTCGTATCCCTGAATAAATATTAATAATAATAATATTATTATTAGTAGTAGTAGTAGTAGTAGTAGTATAAGAATTATTACCTGATTATTCAAATCCATATGATTATTATTTTCAAGTTACAAATCACAATATTTAGCTAGCAACTATAGATATGGTGTTCTAGTTTTGCCAGTACTATTAATTATGAAACTATACTACTTTCCACCATAAAAAAATCTAATTTGTTTTTGTAGTATGTGATATGTACAGGAGGTCTATATACCGGTGTTTACCACAAAATCATGTTCTTCATATGATGGATATTCCTTTTTGTGAGCGCATCCGCTTCACAAGTGAGCAAGTGAATATTTTCTCTGTGCTCACTTTATACAGACTCAATGGAGAGGCTTCACAAGTTCAGACCGACAACACATTTTGAACGTACAAGGTTCGTATGGTTGTGGAAATGTGGTTTGTCTGCTCGACACATTGCCCAAGAGAGTGGCACTAGCGTGACGACCGTATGTAGATGGTTAAGGAGGTGGAAGCGGGATGGAAACGTCAACACACGACCTCGGAGTGGGCGACCTCGTCTAATACCTGAAGAAAAGAACAAACCAGTCACAGTGGTTGAGCTCCCTCCGCCAAGGCAAACTTCAAACTCTGGTTACCATCCGGGGGATAATAGACAATATTGGTTAAGTCCCTTTATTGCCGATTTTACGTCCTTTGATGAAAATCCTAGTTATAAAACCAACTTTAAGTTTACAGGAGAAAAAACAGCTCTGAGACACTGTATCAGTATGAATTATAGTAAAAATTTGAATAATATGAACGACAATAATTTGTTTTGCCAATGTGTCGTACCTGTTATGGAGAACAGTGCTGGGAACGTTTCATATTGTCCTGAAACGGGAAAATAAAAAAACAACTTCCTACCTAATATCTTGCAACCTTCAAAGCTAGGGAACCCTTTTTGCATATTTTTCCATATCCATGTGTTTAACTATATATATATATATATATATATATATATATATATATATATATATATATATATATATATATATATATATATATATATATATATATATCATGTAGCTCCACAATGAAAACGTGGATAAGATAAATCTTGATAAAATCACACGGGAAAAGGGAAACAACGGAGCACCTTAGCTTTCGTCTTTATTCAAGACATCTTCAGAGGCAACTGGATTACACGGACAGAGAGAGGCTTAAATATACAGGGTGACCTTATTAAACATGAGGTCAGGTCATAATGATGTCATCCACTAATCCCCACACCAACACCAACACACACGTAGAGGAGCTCAGGAGAAGGGGGCGACGTGACTAGTCAGGTCAGGTCACAAATAAGGGACCCACTAAATAACTATCCTACATCTAGATCAAAGGTTTTCGAAGCATTATTAACCTTGGTCCACTGACAAATAAATTTATGTAACATATTATCA